TTTGCATAATAGAAAATTCTTCCACTGCTTTCACTTCTTTTTTGTAAAAAAGGATTACCATTTTTGCATGGGCGGTCCCAAATGAGAGAAACATTCGATTGGATGATATTGATCAGAGAAATAAGAGGTGTTACTTAGATTGCATAAAAAAAAATTTTATCTTACGTCAGTATTTAGTGTTAAATTGGTTAACGTGATTACGTTATTGTGAGAACCAATCAGATTTTACATGGTGCGAACTTTGACCATTAAAATTTGCAATGGCGCTTTCAAAATTTAGTTTTTGCATAATAGAAATTCTTCCGCTGCTTTCACTTGAAGATAAGTTCTTTTTTGTAAAAAAAGATTAACATTTTTGCATGGACAGTCCCAAATGAAAGAAACATTCAATTGGATGATATTGATCGGTGAAATAAGAGGTGTTACTTAAACTGCTTAAAAAAAATTTTTATCATATATCTAGGGAAAAGGCGGTTCCATTAATATTAGGGAGCCGCTCCGATATAGAGCTGAGGAGCGGCTCTGTTGGTTGATCTTTCCTTAAAAGGAAAGATCCTCGAACATACCACGTGAAATTTTTCTTGACAATTTTTTATTAAATAAATATATCATAATAAAATAATAAACAAACGAATAAACAAATGAATAGACAAATGAATAATAAAAGAAACTAAAGTATAAAGCATTAAAGAAGAGAAAAATAATGATATGTATATCTTTAATATATATATATTTACAAAAAAAAAGAAAAAAATTGCTTTTCATATACAAACAGGCTCTTGCAGTTTCTGGAAACAAGTAATTTCGTGTTCTGCTAATTGTATTTCCAGCAACAGAGAAAGTCTACTCTGATGGAACGCTTGTTGCTTGAATGGCAAGATAATCTCTCGCCATATTACTTACATTTGGGTACTTTTTGGCATGTGTCTGCCATCATAAGAGAGGATCTGTATCTTCATCTCTCTGCAATTCAAAATAACGATCTATCTCTGATACTGAAGATGTTGAGGGAGTTAGAGATAAAGTTTGTGGAGTGGTGCCTTGACAAGGTTGTATGAAATATTGGCGACTTGTATTCATAGATGTTGATGTACTTCTCATAGGAGATGATATATTAAAAAATTTCTCCTGGTAAATTTCAAAAATTGTTTTAATATATGCACAAGCATTGTGACTTGCATCTGCTGAAAAGGCAGAAAGCTTTATTCGAGGGTCTAAGATTGCTGAGGTGATTGAAGAGTGATCCATAATTTCTCAATATTCTCCAATTTTCTGGGATATTGAGGCAGCCATTTCAGATTGTGAACCAATCTTCTCAAATTTTTTCTTCTAGATACTTTTGGATGTATTTAAAATCAAATCAAGTATCACCCATGGTTGGATAAGATGATGCCGAAAGATGTTTTGTGGCTTTTTCTAGAGGTTCAAGAAGCAGGAGAGTATCCTATAGAACATGATAAATTATTAATTATTAATTATCATTAGTGTTAAGAACACTGACACCTTCATTATCAGCAGCATGTAAGGTCAATTCTGGTTGAAGTCCTTCCCAACATTGTTGAGTTCCAGTGAGTTTCTACATCCAAAATGGGTTTATCTCCTTTATATTGCAGAAATTGCAAAGTTCATCACAAAGTAAAATTGTATTTTTAATTTTGATCATTAATTCATGTATTTTATAAACTGAGTTACTAACTAGTTGTAACTCTTGTTTCACACCTAAGTTCAACACATGTGCTGCACAATGATAATGTGAAAAATTCATTAATTAAAGTTCAATATTAGGGGTATTTGCAATTTCTCTTCCACATACAACCATTGAAGATCCATTGTCAGTAGTTTAATGCAATGATTTTATTAGAGATGTTGAATTTATCTAAAACATGTACAATTTCTTGTGCAGTGTTTTTTCCAGTATGTCTATTAGTAAAGGAATGATGTCAAGGAGAAAGCTACAGAGATCCTAGTTTGAATTTATATAATGTATAGTAATTCCTAGATAAGCTTCCTGGTTCATAGAAGTCCACCTGTCAGCTATCAATGAACACTGCTCCTCAATTTGATCAACATCATTATGATTT